TGGAGGGGCCGAGCCGCCTCTGGAGCAGCTGCGCCCCCGCCCCCTGCTAGGACCCCGGCCGAGTGGTAGGGCGAGAGGAGCCGGGCCCTTAGAGGAGGGGTCTCTGGTTGGGGGAGGGGGCGCCCAGGTTTCTTCCCTACGCTGGGAGCGCTGGGAGGGGGCGTCAACCTAGAATGAGGGTGAGGGCCACGGGGTGGGATCGGGAAGAACCTCCTCCAGGCCACAGTCTCCGGGCAGACACGCCCTCCCTTTGGCCCAGGCACCCCTTTCTCGACCCGTCCACCCGGGGAGCTCCCCGGAGCCCCCGATTGCGGGGAGGATCGTGGAGGGTGCCCAAGAGGTCGGCTCCTTTAAGAAGGGGCGGGTTCGTGCCCTCCATTCAGGCCCTTGGGCCTCTGCCATTGATGAACCTGCGGGCAGCGCCGACCGGAACCGCGCCAGCCCCGCGGGCTGAGGCGGGGCAGAGGCAGGGACGCTTCCCGGCCCCCTGCAGCCCCGAAGTGGGGGCCTTCAGGGAGGGAAGTCTGCAGTGACTGGGGCCTCTCAGGAGCCATGCAAGGCAAACTGGGCAGCCTCAGCCGAGACCCTGAACAGCGATAAGCCAGGATCTACATGCACTTCCAGCTGGTGCAAGGGAGAGCCTCAGGCTAGGCTGTCAGACCTGGGTGGAGCCCTACCAATGCCCTCGAACCAACATCACCTACCCTGTAAAATGGGATGGTGCTGCCTGCCTCCTGGCTACGGACCTGCAACTCCTGGCAGGAGTTGCTTCCCAGAGGCAGGTCCCCGGAGCTCCTCTGGGAAGACTGGGGGCAGGGGGTGTGGTTTCCCCAAGAGGCTTCGACTGCCTCTTGAGCCGAAGCCCCCCTACTCTGTCCCACCTTGAACTCTCCCAACCTCTTCCCTTCTGACCTCCCTGCTCCACGCAGGAAGAGGTTGGGAGAGTGACCTAGAACTTTTCAGCTCCAGGAACTTTGGGAGAGGTCTGGCGGTGGTGGTGGTGGCACTGCTTTTAGGCTAGTGTGGATCAGGGCGTTTTGGGGCGTCTCAGAGACAGTTTCCCACCAGCGGCTTCCTTAGAGGTCTGTCCTACCAGCATCTGAGAACAGCCCCACCCTGTGCCGGGCCGGCTTCTGATGCTGCTTGGTTTAATGCTTCTAGGTAATCAAGGGTTAATGCACATGCTTTTCTTTTTACCCTTGTTGTGAAAAATCTGTCTAAAGTGTCTAAATCCCTCTTCCCTACTTAGCATGGATCTCCTAGGGAGGACTTCTGTACAAATACCCAGGGGTGGGCTTCCCTTGGGGGTCTTGGAAGTGGGATCTCCACCCAAGTGATCCTGGGCCTCCCAGGGCTGAGCTTTTGGTTTCAAACTTACTCGTGCCAAGCTAAGGGCATCAGGGTCGCTGTTCGTGTCATCTTTACAACAACCCTGTGGGTTTAGTGCTATTATTATCCCCGCACAGGGAGGGGAAGTGACTGGCCCAAAGTCCCGCAGTCAACAAGTCAGGCCTCCCAACCACTCCTCTCTGACAAGAGCCTGGCACTTCTTCCCCTGTCTACCCAGCCTGGGTTGCAAGGAATGGGGGGTTTAGGGGCTTCAGGCCTCCTGGCTGCTGTCTTCCTGGGGCTAGGGTCCAGTCTTGAGGCCTGCGCTCATTCTTACTCTCCAGGTGAGGTCAGGGGACTGGTCAGAACCCAGGGCCTGGAGAGGTTTCTCTTTCCGGCTCACCTGGCTGGGTGCCATTTTATGGCTATGCTCTGTCTAGGGGGATAGCAGGTGTGACCCCTCAACATGAGGTCACAGCCCACACCTGTCTGGGCAGAGCAAGGCAGGGCATCGCTGTGTGGGTGTGCAGCATCTTTTGGTTCCTCTGGGTGAAGCAGGGTTTGGGCCCCATTCTCCACATACTTCCGGCCCATCTGAGGGTAGCGCCCACCTAGGGGGTGGGGAGGACAGCCAGCCAGGAGCTCACGGTCTGGTGGAAGAGACAGGCTACAGCCATGTGGTGTGGTGGAGGGGCAGGGGGCAAGGGTGGAGGTGGGGACAGGATCAGGGGGTGTTCCCGAGGCCTCTGTGGGCTTGGGGGCTTACCTGCTACTGGGGCAGAACAGGGGAAGTAGGCAGTGCCTGGCTGGGTGCTGAGGCTCTATGCAGAGGACAAGCAGGAGTTGGAGGAAGAGGATGTATTCGAACTTGGTGAGTTTGAGGTACCTGGAGATCAGCCAGGCTGGGAGTTGAGCTCAGAGAAAGGCCTGGGGAAGCTTTATTAGCACCTGTAGTCCCCAGAATTTGGGGATGCTCAGATCTTAGGGGTGCCACTAGAGGTCTCAGAAGGCACTGGTATGTGTGTCCTGGAAAAGCCAGAAGGCAGCTGGGTGGGATGAGTTGGGGGAGGTACTAAGGGGGTATCCTGCAGGTTTAGGGGGCTGGGCCAGGGCCCATGTGAGGCTTATGATGCTGGGGGAGTGGAAGGGACTGAGTGTCTCAGGCCAAGGCTGGAGATGGGGGGGACCTCTGCTCTGCAACCCCAGAAAGGCAGGGTGGGTTGGGAGTAACCAGGGCCAGTGCAGGTGGAACCAGCCCAGCCTGCCCTCCACCTGCAGAGCCCATCCAGGAACTGTCCAGCACTGGGTGCTCCTGAAGGAGGCTGAGTCTGCCTCTTGAGTCCCCAAGCCCTGGCTTAGCTTGTTGTCCTGACCCCCACTTCCTGCAGAACCCAGCTGTGGATGCCCCTGGCCCCCCAACCCGGCCACTCAGAGTGCCCTATC